TCTAGCCTTTATTTTCATGGCAAACAAATAGTCCCTAAAGTGGTTTGAGACTCTTTGTGCGACCGAGCAATCTACTTTGTTTGCGGTTAACGTTGTGTTGCTCGAGAAGGGTTGTGTTTTTGATGTTGAGATTAATTTGCTTGTTGTTGGTCTTGACAGTCGGGCGACCGACAAATTTGGGAATGGCTTGTTCTTCTATCGGGACCAGTTCCAGTGGGGTCTTCGATTGTCGCTTTGTAAGGAACTTAGATTTATCCTGAATCATTACAGTGAGTCCTCCACCCAAATCAAACCAAACTCAATTGTGAAGATTATGTCGTATGTGATTTGCTATAAGTAGATGGAGAATTCGTGGTTCCAGGGGCTTTTCTCCTACATGTTCTTCCAAGTTGAGGCAGACGGCTGCGTGATCTTCAGCTTGACTCAAAAGTTCCATTTGGCCGACCCAAAGGAAAAAATAGAAGACTGGAAGTATCAATATGTTGTTGAGTAAGCCAAAGAATGGGGGGGTCCAGGTCCGGCTGACTGGCGAAGTCAACAAAATGTAGAAGTCAGTGCCTCCCTTGATCCGATCCTTGGCTTCAACGATTGAGGGGAAACAACTATCCATGGTGTAGTACATTGAGGGGGTGGTTGTGAAAAAGGTTCTCAATTCGGACAAGTACGGAGCAATAACCTCATAGCTTTGGGCGGCCTTGGATGCGGAGGAGCAAAATAGGGAACTGGACAAGCTCTTTGAGCCTACATAGAAGAATCTGCGATAAAAGGTGGCTCGACCGAAGGTTGTAGTGAAAGCAAGGGAGGATGCAAAACCAGTTCCTTCAAGGGCTCGCGAGGATGAGGCCTACCAGACACCTAGTTACTTGAGGGACGATGCCGAGGGATATTCAGATGATTCGTCAGGTCATGATCAAACCACCCAAAAATAGTTTACTTGGTGCAAGAGGGGAGGTCAATCGGCAGTCCCATGGAGTTCATGCTAAAGCCGAGCTTGAGCCCATGACTACGATGGCGGTGAAGGAAGCACCCGAGGAGGAAGAGAGCGCCACAGTTAATGAAGCCCGACAAAGAAAAGGCAAGGCCCAAATGAGCAGTTGGGCGTCGATCTTCCACCACCTCCAGGAAAGAGACAGAGAGGTGCTTCGGGAGATTGAAGCCCACTGCAAAAAGAGCGACTGAAGGCATTTGTTACCAAGGACTCCCACTTTTCCCTCGTTGACATGCATAGGGAGTGGTAGCCAGTCGGTCTGGGCGCCAACAAGTACGCTTCAACCATTGTAGATGTTCTCTCTTCGGAGGGTTTTGAAGAGAGGTCGGGCGATTACAACCCCATTAACCTTATGTGCCTCTATACATCACTTGACCACCCACTACCTCGATGCCAAGAAGGCCGAACAAAAAGAAGAGCAGTAGGTTAAGGCTCTTAGGGTCGAAGTAAAAATAGTTAAGCGGGCGAATGTAGCAGATGCTCTGCCAGATACTGCTGAGGAGCGAATGTTGTGATTGGGTTGTTCTCAATGGCGAAGGAGGAAAACATACTTCTATTAGAGAAGATTACAACAAAGAAGACGATGAGGAATACATCAACGGTCAGGCCAATCATCTACAGCTTGTCATGAAACTAGCGATCGACGAGTTTGTGCGGGTCAGAACGGCAAAAAAAGCGACCAAAAGTGTTCGTGACCAAAGACTCCCACTTTTCCCTCATTGACATGCAGAGGGACTGATAACCAGTCGGCCTGGGGGCCTAAAAGTACACTTCAACCATCGCAGACATTCTCTCGTTCGAGAGTTTTGAAGAGAGATTGGATTATTGCAACCACATTAACCCCTGCATTCTGTCGAAATTAGTTGTTGAGCCTCGCTTCTATAAATCACTTGACCACCAGCTACCTTGACGTCGTGCCGAACAAAAAGCAAAGAAAAAGGCTAAGATTCTCAGGGCCCGAGTTAAAGCAGTTGAGGAACAGGTGAATGCGGCCGAGGCTCGGACAGCTACTGTTGAGGAGCAAGAGGTTGTGACTAGGTTGTTCTCAGTGGCAAAGGAGGGAAGTAGGCTTTTGTTGAAGAAGAGTGCAACTAAGATGACAACGGAGGAGTACATCGACGACAAGGCCAATCATGTCCAGCTCGTCATGAAACTAGCGATCGATGAGTTTGCGTGGATCAGAATGGATGATCCTAACTATTCTGATTTGGATGAGTTCACCAAGCACTTCTCTGCTCCTTCAACCTCCTAAGGTGAAAGTGGTAAGTCTGGAGATGGCGGCATGATTCAGTCATTTCCATTTTTTGCACTCATAAATTTTTTTATTTTTGCACACAATGGAAAATAATGTATAGATTTTGTGAAAAGAAATTTTTGTGACTGACAAGTTAAACAAAATGAGATACAGCTTTCAACAAATTTTTTAACATTCTTTTGCTTTTACCTTTAATGAACATTTACTTTTTAATGCTTGTATGCGTTTATGGTGTGATTTTCTCGGCACCATTAGTGAAACTTGTTGCTACTAGGTAGGAAACCACCTCTAGACCTTCTTCTGGCCCGATTTTATTTTCGAACACTAATAAGACATCTTGCGTCGTTGTCGTTTTTTGGTGTAGATGCCCGACTCCTGTCTTACATTCGCTGAGTCTCAGTCTCTTGGTTGGATCTCTGCACTGGACAAAATACCCCATGTGCTAATTTTATAAGTGAATCTTGACGCAGCTTCGTAGAGGTGACCTCTAGAACTCAACTTTGCAGTGATTTGCTCGGTACCCTTTGCGAAGCTTGTCGCTACTAGGCAAGAAACTACCTCCAGAGTTATACCCAGTTAAGTTTGAAAACGGAGCTATGATTCGTGAGCATTGCAAAATATTTCATTTTATGTTTTGTCAATCGGATGTCTAGGCATCCTTGTCGGCTTCACTGTTCGAGTTCGAGTTCCTCGAGTGTTGGTTTCATTACTCATGTGAACTCCACGAGTTCCTTGAGTCTCGATTAGACAAAGAAACACATTAGAAAAGTTCACATAATTTTTATACCAGAAAAAGTATAGAATGTTTGAAATAGTAGCAACTTTTCAATGCCAAGTCGGGTATCAATTAAGGTATTGAAACTGATTTTCTCACTGGCGCCATACGGTGGGGGATGCGCCTAGACTCAGGTCCCCTCGGTTGGCCTGCAAGAAGTTGGGGGTGATTGTATTCTTTGTGCCCATGGCCTATGCCTGGACTGATGTTGGCCGTTCGGAGTCGGACGAGTGTTATTGGGACACCATTGGTTGGCTTTTCCTACAGGAGTTCTCCAATCATAGGGAGCCGACTATCTATTTCAAGGGTGTGGTTTTAGCCTCTGAGCCAAAGACCATCCGAAGAAGGTCGAAACGTGGTTTTTCGGATTCTAAATCAGCTGCTGCAAAAACTCCTTGACGTACTCCATGCTGGGAGTATCTCTGTGGTGGGCTTCTTCCCCTAGTGTTCCTTTTCTTATTGTTGGCATGATCCACGCTCATCGCACCATTTATGATGTTGAATCCGGACATGTCTTGTGAATCACAACCAAGGAATAATGTAAAACATGAGAGAGAGAGAGAGAGAGAGATGAGTGTGTCACGATTTACCACTCTAGTGCAAAGTGAGATATTTGTAGGCTCTTGTGACTCTTTTATATAATTAAATATTTTTGATACATGGAGGAAGGGAGAGCCAAAAGTCCCCATTACATAATAAGACCTCTATATTTATAGACAAGGGGTTATAAAGTGAAAAATTACATGATTGTCCCTGCTTTTATTGGGGCTTTACAAGATATTTTGGGCATTAAGAAAATCAAGGAGTCTATGGTTCGACTACCCTATCATTCGGTCAGCAAGGACTTGCAATCCATGGGCCAACCAAGGACATTCAATCTACTCTATTGAGTTGAAGAAATCGGTCGGCCATGGTGGTCCTTCAATCATTTGGACTTCATTCAGTATGTTGTCTCGATCTGATTGTAGACTGTTGAGCCTTGGATTGGAAACTCATGATGCTAGGTAGAACTAGGCTATCAGGCAGATGATGAATCACTATAATTTGGCAGGTAGCCTACCCCTTTTAATAAGAGATCTGTTTGAAAGGCTCGATGATGTTCGATAATGAGAAATTTGGGCCTTCTAAAGAGTCTAGGAGGCTCCTGTGAGGCATCCGATGATATTTGAAGGAGAGTTCGACTAGTTTATTCCCTCGATTAGATAAGTCTCGATTTTTGTCTTGGACAACCTTCGTTCAGTCTATCCAAATCCTGTTCTGAGCGAACTTTAGTTGGTCAACAGGATCCTTTGGTCTTTTGATGATATGGTTCCTGCTCCTTCTGATGGTCAACCTTAATCATATTTTTATCTTGTAGTTCGTTGAATTTCCTCAAAATATGTGTTGATGCCTTTCTGACATACACATTAAAACGATCAAAATGTAAGGGACCGTTTGGATCATTTGTGTTTTTTGTTTTCTTTTTTTTTTTTTTATGTTTTGATTTAAAACAAAACATTTTTGGAGTGTTTGATTAAGGTATGTTTGATTTTAAAAACAATCAAAACACCTCAATGTTAGTTTGAGTGTTTTCAAAAATAGGTTAATTTTTTTTTCAAATAAAAATAAAAACATGTAAAAAACACCAAACAGACATATTTTTTAAAACAAAAGAAAAAATAAAAACAAAAACAAAAAAAACAAAATTAATCCCACACAAGCCCGAAAGAATTGATTGTGATTGTTAGCAATTTATTTTCTAGATATCACTTCCATAAGTGATTTGATAAATAGCCAAACAAATCAAATAAATGTTATGGCTTATCATCTAAAATAACCAAAGGGTGGGCTTGGAACAATGGATTAGTTGCCTCTCATATCACGAAAATGATCTCTTTGCAGTGCAAGAGGAAAGGCTGTGTTGTGAAAAGCCTCGTATACTCTGAATGCTCTTCTCATCCAAAAAAGCTATAGTAAAAAATAATGAAGGGAACTAATATTACCTCAGAAGAGGTGAACCCATAATTGGCTAGCTCCCCGCTCTCCCAAATTGCTGTGATTGATTTCAAGGGCATATCAAACAAGTCTGTCATGAACATAAAATATTTGTGACGATTCAATTAATATTGAAACAATAAATGAACAAAAATCAGTAGAAGCAAACCAGCTAGTCTCCGGAGCTTGCGTAAGGATGGTATTTGTTTATCTAATGATGACTGGAAAGTTTTCTCGGTAGACTTTTCCTCTTCATCGATTTCTGTGGCGACAGAATCAAATAATGATGACAGTTTCTCCAATGCCATATGGATAAGTTTCTGGAGCTGATTTTTAGAAAAAAAAACATCAGAAAAGCATTACATGATAACATGAAACACAAAACAGAAGCTTGTTAGAAGAACCTGCAGGGTCTCCTCAGCAGCCATATCATCTAAAAACAACAAATCTTTCGTGATTCTGGAAAAAAAAGAATCCAAGATTATGCACATGCTTCTCTTGTAAGTTAATGCTGCCATCAATGGCTCCCAAATGACACGTACTTTCTCCAAAATAAAAATAACCTAACAATGAAACATAATTGTCAAAACTTTAAATACCAGCAATATCTATATTGTTTGATATCTAAGTAACGATATAAGTAGACCAAGCGCTAAAAAAATAATAATCAACAGTAACAATCTAAATGTTATAATATCTAAGCAAAGATTCCACATAATTCAGCAAATTGCCCTCTAAGGAACTTTCGCATTAAAAGAAGTATGCACGAGAAATATGTGATTTAGCAATAGTTATGAAGTAATTTAGGGCCTATTGATGGAGTCAATGATGATTACATGCTTCTCTCTCTCTCTCTCTCTCTCTCTCTCTCTCTCTCTCTCTCTCTCTCTCTCTCTCTCTCTCTCTCTCTCTCTCTCTCTCTCTCTCTCTCTCTCTCTCTCTCTCTCTCTCTCTCTCTCTCTCTCTCTCTCTCTCTCTCTCTCTCTCTCTCTCTCTTGTTTGTGTGTTTGTGTGTGTGTGTGGGTCTATATATATATATATATATAAAGGCAAAATTAATTGATATAAAAGAGAGGGTACAAAGGTTTTACTGAGTGGGTGCAAAGAACACACTCACAGGGATTACAACTTACTCAAAAGGAGACATAAACAACACAAAATCCCAAAAAATATAAAAAAAAATTAGAAAACAACTCCTAATCATGGTGGGTGTAGTCGGTGGGTTTACCAACTCCCCCTCCCCCGTTTACCACTTCCCCTTCCTCTGGATCTAGGTTGGGAGTCCAGTAACTTAGTGAGATGCGGGCTTCCGCCCGAAACTATGAAACAGTCATCATGAGAATTACTGAGATCTAACATTCTTTCTTCCACTTCCTAGATTTGTAAACCTGTCAATCATCTGCCAGAGATAGTCCCGTCTGAACAATAGGTGGATCTTCGATGCTTCGATGGTCGATGGAGAGCTCACCCCGGGGGGTATGTTGATCCGTAAACTGCTGATTTGACTCAGCCTGCAACACACATTGATCCTAACACTCCTTCAGAACTAGAGTACCTTCTCTCGCAAAAGGTGGTTCCAAGACACTTCGGCTATCATCTGCTACAACAAAATTCGTAGTATTTGTGATCTAAGGAAGAACTGCTCAACAACGGTAGGCGAAAGCTGTTGATCTGTTTGGTGAGAAGTAACCTTATGAGTTAGATTTTCATTCAATATTTCCGGAAGATTAACAGTGTCTGCTATATTTTCCTCAACATGGATGATGTTGTTAGGACCTACCAATCTCAAATGTGGGTGAAGTTTGAAGCATTTGTCAGGGGTATGCCCAAACAGTTTACAGTTATTGCAATAGTAAGGTTTTTGTTCTGTAACAATTGGCTGTCAATACCCATTGTGGCCAGTACCAAACCATATTTCATCCACATCAGGGAGTGTGATATCCCTTTCAACAAGAATTCTTGTAATCAAATGCCTGGTTAGATTGAAGGTGGGTGTATCCAATTTCATAAGTCTCCCTAGTGCAGCTCCAATAGAACAGAGGACTTGGTGATTGAAGTAGTGCAACTTTAGGCCAGGTAGTGTAAACCAGATTGGAACTATAGGTGATTTTTGGCTAGGGTCAAATTCAAGAGACCACTTAAGCAGTTTCATATATTTCTCATCTATTGTCATAAACTTTTTAGATAATATATTGGCGTAGTCTTCTACTTTAGATAATTGTCTCATCATATGTCTCCCATCAAAGAGGTCAACCTTCCAAAGTCCTAATAGTTTGAGATCTTCAAAAGCCTTTTGAACGATATCCATATGTCTCGATTAGAACTTCCCAATGAGGGTGAATTTACACTTGTCAACCAGGTTGAAAATTTCAACATCAAAGAAGAATATAGCTAGTTTGCCACTCTTCCCACACTTCTTCTTGAAAAGGTTGCGGTCCTCCCGGCCTTCAAATGATTCATGATAAACCTAAGGAAAAACCTGATCCATTGATCCCACAAAGCCAAGCATATCAACATAAGAAGTCTTCCCAAGGTTTAAAACTGAAGCAATCAGTGGTTGAGGAACAGAAGCCATAGAGTTGAGAGTCGAACTGCGGTTAGCTCCTGGGTTTGAGTCATGACTTCAACCGGAGCTTTTTGCTGCACGATTCGCAGTGCAGGGATCAAGCGGCACGTCACAAGAAGGATCGCGACACTGTGTTATCCGCCGCTACCTTCTTAGTGAGCTCGTGAGACGATCCAGAAAATGACGCGATCGAACGAACGATACCGAAGAGTGAAACGAAGCGAACGAGCGAGAGGCTGGGGTACGATCCCCCACCCTTCTTCTTCAAGCAGGAGTCTACGAATCGCTGCGGCTACCCGCATCGCCATGGAGTCGCGATGGGAGGATTAAACCCTAGCAACCCGACACGATGCATCTGTCAAAGTATATATATTCAATTAGTGTCCTTTCAAATAAATAACAATTAGTTTATGTGCTCCTATTAGGAAAAATGTATCTCCACTACTAAATGCAGTCAGCATTTGTAGTAGGAAAACATCTTAAGAAGCTTGTTTTACCCTCATGTTACTCCAAAAGTTATTGCAGGTATTCTTTTTTCTTCTCTTCATGCCCTTGTTACAGGGAATAAATAGAGCATAAGTTGAAGGGCATAAGCTCTTCCATAGTACCTTAGAAATTATTTTTATATGAACCTCATAATTGCATGCCTTTTAGAGTCTGATTCTAAGTTGGTAATTAGAGGACAATGCAAGAGTTAAAAGGTCATATTTGCGTCTTTCCCATGCATTTCAAGAAATCAAAAATGGGCTAAGACTGCTTAAATTTAACCTTTCAGCAACCTGCAGTAGCCGGAGCTTAGACTTGATAGTAACTAGTTGACAAGCAAGTTAATTCTTTTGAATTAAAATTGGTACATCGTCAACAAATTTTGTCATTTGGCATGAATCTCGAGGCAATTAGCATAAATCTCAGAACATTTTTTAAGCAATAAACATTCCATCTCACATTAAAAATCATTCAAAACTCTGATTTCAGTAAACATACAGTCAAACCGACCGGCTCAACGAAATAGACCTAATCACACCAAAACTTGCCCATCTGAGTCAAATCAAACCCAGATCAAGCTGCTAAACCACACTTGGAAGTTTCGGGTGGCTAATTGGAATGTCAAATGTATTTCAAATCTAACAGACTTCTAGTCGAATCGAGCATCTCAGTGAGACGAACTAAACAAGCCTAAAATCACTCAATTCCAACATCATTAATGTACATAAATGTCCAAAAAAAATGTCATCAAATCAGAGGAATCTCTCTGGGTAGTCCGATAGATTAGTCTAGATTATTTTTTTATTTGCAGGGAGGTCACTCCTATAAATAGAGTCATACCCCCTTCATGAAAAGGGACCAGGACCTTAAACAGGAGGAAGGGCTAGACCTGGAGCTAGTTTGAGGAAGAGCTGAATTCCATTGTCGTTTCGGACGGAAAACACAGCGAACGCTTCCTGTTTCCGCAATCACTGTCCACCGTAGACCATTGTCAATCACCCCTACTTATTGTAAAAAAGTTCTTCACTGAGTTGCAATGTAGGTTGTGTAATAACAAAGCACCACATGGGGCAAAAGACCAATATCACAGAGCAACAAAACACCCTAAGAAACTGTGCACTATCCTGAACACTGTGCAAAGAAGCACTTCGAAGACGATGCATTGAGCTCTAAACAACTACTCCTAACTGAAATTGCTCCGACCGTTGTACAACAAATTTTTTTGCATACAACAATTGTTCTTAGAAGAACTATGTAACACTTTTCAACTTGTGAGATAAAGGGTGAGCTCATCAACGAATAGTGGATCATTCTAACAGGATTAGGCCCCGTGATTTTTCCCTTTTTGGGTTTTCCACATGAAAACATTAGATGTCTCTACCTGTCACTTAATTACCCATGTGTGCTAGACTTTCATGCAACGCAAATTAATCACGTTACTGCCATAAATCTTCCAACACACATCAGTTTAGTGTCGGCTATGGGAAAGACAATCCCACCATCGAAGGACTTACAAAACTCGCCGAATGACTATCAGACGCAATACTCACAACAACAAAACATCCAGCTCCAAAACCTACCGTTTTAGGGAAAATCACAGAGTCAGCTCAAGCCTCTGCCTCTTCCCACCCTAGAAGACATTATCCTATTGATTAAGACATGTCGGGTCCCTCTCTAAAGGATCGAATGCGCAAGATGGAGGAGTCTTAGCATGAGAACCTTCAAGTCCTACGTGAAACCTGACAGCAAATGCCAACATAACCAAATTAAGCTTACTTACAATCAGTTCAACAGTCAATGGGAAATGCCCCGCTCGAGCTTACTTGTACCGAGCCCCCTCTCAACGGTGGAACCCTTCCTCTTTGCTACTACGAGTTCCACTCATCCATCCCGCTCGGCTAGGCCGATCAATCACCCTCCAACACTAATGGAAGACTTGGCCTGCCACTCTTGTTGCCGCCACTGATAGCTCAATTCATGATGAGGGCGCCTGATTCAAGAAAAGTTCTATCCGGGAGATAGGGATCACTTCCCCTCTCCTCGTAACTTCTATTAGTCTTCTCCCTTGGCCGAGACGGTGCTCCAAGGCCCCATCCTAGCAAGCTTCAAGCTCCGTAACATTAATTCTTATGAAGGGGGTAACAAACCTATATGAACATGACCATTACCGATCCATCATACACATTCAGCGTACCTCTGATGCTTTTTTTTGTCAAGTGTTTCCCGCCACTCTTAAGATTCAAGCTCGCATTTGGTTCTACACTATTCCAAAAGACATTATCCACACCTTCACGAGCTTGTTAGACTCTTTGCGGAGCAGTTCATAGTGAAAAAGAGCATCATTAAAAATTCATCCCATTTCTTAAGAATTCCCTAGAATGAGGGAAAATCACTTAAAGAATACTTTCGCAGATTCTCCATTGATGCTCATCAGTTTTTAGTAGTGAATCTTGAATTACTAAGGGGAGTCTTTCATGGAAGGCTCCGTCAGAGACCTTTCTAATAATCATAAATGCAGGAGACGATTCGCTCTTACGTTGACCTCGTTCATCGTGTCGAAACACAAATCACTGCAGATGAGACCATCAACACAATTTGGGGGCAAACATAAGAATAATCCCGGAGACTAATCAAACTTCACAATCAAGGAAGTTCAAACATCAAGGGAATCATGATCTTCCTCGGCTTGCAAACCAACAATGTGAGCCTCAACCAAATGAGTAAACACTGCTCATCATGGCGTGCATCAACATTCTGAGGGCCATCATGGATGAAGAGACTGTTAAGTGGCATCGCTCTTTGAAACCGAACTTGAGGAATAACGAACAATACCGTCACTTCTATTAGAGTCGTGGTCACACAATCTAAAGCATGTAAGCAACTCAAGAAAGAGATTGAAAGACTAATTTAACAAGAGTATCTGAGACAGTTTGTACAAAAAAAATCAACCGGTATGGATAACGCTACCATTGGGGGATGATGAACGCAAAAGAAACATGGGAGTCACCAAATGATTGACGAAATTCAAGCAATCATTGGAGGTTTATTATTATCTGATCATGTCTTCATCACCACACCTGAAGAACCAATGCAAAACAAACTCCGATTTGAGCTCATCGCTTTCGATGACTATGAAGTAGAGAGAGTTTAGGTTCCTCAACAAGAACCTTTCGTCATTAGCGAAAAGATTGGCCAACCTTCCTATAATGTGAATGATAGCTCTGTCGATGTCTTGTTCTACACCACCTTTCTCAGTCTAGGGCTAAAAAAGGAGAAACTTCAGCCTGCACCTGAGCTATTGTAAGGGTTCGATAATCCACTGGTGAATGTCGAAGGAACGATCAATCCTCCAGTTGTAATGGGATAATTTTCTCGACAGATGACTCACTCCATCAAGTTTATCATCATTATTAGAATCAACATACAACACCATCTTCCCAAAGCCCCTCCAGTCCATCATCAGCATCGTCACTTCTATGTCACCCCTCAAGTTGAACTTCTCAACCCCGGTCGCGATTGGTGTTTGTATGTGGGGATCAACAAATAGCACAATAGTGCTACCTCAGGCAAGCCAAACCGCACTCATCAATGATGCTTAGCATCAAAAACATTGTTCTCCGAGATGAAAATATTTCCCAAAAAAAGACTTGTCTTCGTTCCACTCTCAGGTGATCATCCTTTGCAAATGGCGCAACTCGAACTCTGCTCTCCGATAAGCAAATGTTTGAAATTGTAGATCTTCTTCAAAAGAGCCATGAGTCGACTGATATGCCTGGAGTCGACCGAGAGTAATCATGCACTCCTCAAAGGTGAATTCGACCTTCAAGCCAGTTTTCCAAAAGAAGCAAAGTTTTGCTTTGGATCGCCTGCAAGAAATTGAACAAGAATTCGACAAGTTTTTAGAAGGTTCATATAGGAGGTGCACCACTCAATGTGGCTGGCGAACTTCATTATAGTCGAAAAGGCTAGCGAAGCTTGGAGGATGTGCTGACTACACCATCCTCAATAAGGCATGCTAGAAGGCCAACTTTCCTCTCCCTCACATAGATCAACTTATTAACACTACGACAAGACATTGGACGGTCAACGTCCTGAAAGCATACTTAGGGTACAATCAAATAAGGATGAATCTAAAGAACGATGAGACCACCTCTTTCCAAACCAAAAAAGGCTTAAACTATTACCAACTAATGTCATTCCAAGTGAAGAAGGCTGACGCGACCTACCAATATTTCATGAAAAAGTTTTTCAGAGATCTCCTCGAACGTACAATGGAGGTTTATGTCGACAACATGTTGGTAAAAAGCCTATAAGCGTCCCAACACATCTCTCACATGAAGGAATGCTTATGTCACAACCCGTCTCAAAGCTTGGAATTAATCATAGTGGCTAAAGACAGTTGGACAATGAAGAATTATGTTTTTTATATTCATTTTCTATAAAATTTAAAATTTGAATGAGCCACTTAACAAAATTATACTAAAATTGTATCATTAAATTTGTCTCATTATAGGTTGTCTGAGTTTTTTATAAAAATTTCCCATTCAATCACTCATTTTTTAAATCACTTAGTTACACATGAGAAGTTAGTTTAAAGCAATAATGCTAACCAAAGCAAACAAATACTGACGCTCGTAAACTACAATAATACAAGAAACAAATAGTATGCATGTCAGTTAAGCGTTTAGTAAATCAGTATAAAACATTTGATAGTTTAAAAATATGACCACTTATGATATTTCATTTTATTCAATGGGTTTTACGATATCAATAACATATCTATATCTTGTACAATTGTCACAGGAGCACTGTCTAAAAATTATATCAATTAAAAAACATTTGAATAAGAGTTGTCAACTTTATTTTAGCTCTCTCTACCTTCAAAGCTAAGATCTGGACATCTCCTAGTGACCAATAAGAGTGTAGTTGCACAATGTTATTGATAGTTGGCTTCAGGCCTCCCAAATATTTGGCTATAGTATATGTTCCTCTGGTTCAATTAGCTCGCATTTCATCTGAAGTTTATCAAATTGTGTTGTGAACTCCTCCAATAATAGGTCTCTTTGTTGTTGTTGATGAAGCTTCAGAAACATATCCTAAAGGTGGCAAGGAGGTAAGTATCTCCCCTGCATCTCATTTCTCATCTTCTATCATATGGTAATCTTGTCACTTCTCTCCTTTGTCTCTACAAATTTTTCAGCCGTAAAGAAACACTCTTCTTTAATTTGATGGCCATAAGCTTCACTTTCCTGTCTTTTGGCACTTCCTTGAACTTGAAGATTCTCTGAAACTACTGTAAACATTCAATGAAATCATCTCCTTTAAACTCCGATAGATCCACTTTCACTGAAATTTTGTCCTCCATACGTCGCCTCCTCTCTCAGCCTTCTCTAATAATGAATTCCAAAGTGTCGAAGTCGATCCTCCTCATCACTGAAGTCTTATATATAGAACAGGTTGTCATTCTCATCGCTTTCGCCTCTTTGATTCTCTGTATCACGATCAGGGATAATTTACCCCTCGGTTCCGTCATCAATCTCTGCAAACTTCTATTGAAGTCGATGGATTTCTCGTATCTCTTCCCAGGTAAATTTCAGCATGTGTCGCCTTAGTGGCATTGTAGAATTTGGATTTGTGGGAGTGGGAGAGGGTATGGGAATGGAAAAAGAAAAGATTTGCTGGGTGCGTTTGGGTTTGGGTTGGTTTGGCTGTGGGGGGAAGGAGGGGTGGAAGTAGGTTTTGTTTATGGCAGATGCTAGAAACCTTAAGATAATGTTAAGGTTAGTTAGCCTAGCTTTGATATCAAATCCATTTATATCATGATACTAGAGTTAACCCAAAACCCAAAAAGGTGAACCAAATATTATTACACAAAAAAATAAATAAGATAATAACCAATGACACTAGAAATAAGAAAATACGGCACAAACACAAATACCCTGGTAGGGAGAGGTGAAAGGTGGCGGAGGCTAAAAAACAAATATTATTACTATTTACCACCGTTTTTTTAATTCATGACAATTTGCATAAAAAATATACCTGATTTATACTGAACGTTGCCAATTCAAACTGCTGTTGTTGGTGGGTATTCTGAAACCCGTCAGCCCCATTAATAGCCTGAAAACCACATCAGCTATCTAAAAGGATTAATTGAACGAATGGCATATCAGATAAGGATTATGAAAACTTATGCAAGTGAAATTGCCTCTTTCAAATTATTGATAACTAGCTGAATTTGCTCTTGTAATATGTTCTCTGCCATCTGATAAAAGCTTGGTGCAATATCAACAAACACAATAAATTTCCTCAGGCATGATGGAAAATCTGCACGGTACTGAGTAAATAAGGATACTTGAGATATTCCTTCCAAATATAAAAGTAGGGAGACTTTTGACCATATTAAAATCATCATAACTGAAAAAAAAAATAATCAAAATATATTCATCATAAAACAGGAAATGCATATAAAGTTCTTCGAATAATGTAAAGCCCGCAAAATGTTTCATATGAAGAAAATGTAGAAAACAATAAGGTTGGTTAAAGGATCTTCTATTACTATTGAACATACCAAATTCATTAATCTAGGCATTTTCTCTAGCAGAGGAAGACTGATACAAAAAGTACGTTAATCAATTTGATAGGTTTTAGACAGTAATTTTATTTCAAAATGAGACTATCATGTTGTTTCCAACAATATTTCTTTAAGAGATGAACTGGAAAATGAGAAGCAGTACTGTTCTAAATGAAAATTATTGTACTCAAATACTCCACATCTGTGCAAAGTTGAGAAAAAAAAAAGAAATATCTTATTTGAGAAATTTCTAGAATATTACATCAAATCATAACATTAGAGGAACCATACCACCATTATTTTGAGGCATTTAACTAATTTGAAATTATTCGGAGCTAACGCTCACCTTTAGTTCATAAGCCCATAAAAGTAAAATCAAACACAAATGTATGTTTTACAAGTAACACTCATGAATTCCGAACGTTTGTGGTTGCAGTCAGTAAAATAAGTTCAATAATCCATGCATCATATGAATCATGGATATAGATACGGGGACACGGGCATGAGACGATATAATTTGAAAAAAAAGGAATAACGTGGGGCTTGCCCTGGGGCTCATAGAGAGCCGGTACTTCTTTTAAGAGCTAGGATTGTTGCCCAAGTAAGAGGAGGGGGGGAGGGGGGGGGGTACTTCTTCTTTTTTTTTTGTTATTTATATGTTGTTTTCTCTATTTTAGGTTTAGTTTTTATTGAGAATTTTGTTTGGACAGCTATTTGCTTCCCCCTTTTTCCTTCTGGGTTTATATTCGACATCAAGAAGGTGATCTGACAGTATTTCGTCCGAAGTGGTGTGTATTTTCTCGTTTTTTCCTTCTTGTCATCTTCCCTGCACTCTCATCCCCAATGTTTCCCAGCCGCCAATCCCCATAACCACCCTCCCCTCCTCTCCTTCCTGCTAAGTCGGGTCGTCCCCTTGCCTTCCTATTGGGCCCCCAATATTCTCCCCTTGCCTTCCTGCTAGGCCACCACCACTTCTCGCACCGCACCGGCAATCATCCCTGCCGAAACTACCCCTAAAAGCCTTCCTCCCTGCCACAACCCACTACCAATCCCTTCCCTGATGTACCACAAGCCAACCCTCCATAGCTCAACCTGTTGCTACAACTAGTGACCCCCATTACCAATCCACCGAGCCAATAGCCACCTCAGCCTAAGCCCTAGTTTGGGATTTTGTTGTGTCGTTATTTGCTAGTTTCGAGTGTGCGAGTTGTAACCTCTATTTAATTTCAGTAATAAAAATTTCATTTCCGTATTCATTTTAGTTGACTCCGATATCATTTGGTATTAGAGCTAGCTTAATCCTAATCCTATCCTAAAGTTTCTTAGCATCTACATTACACCACCAAAAAATATTTTTCTAATTACAACCATGGCCAAACTTTTATCAAATAGTAATTTTCTCTTGTAGATTTCAAAATCAGCAACCCAAAATCAATTTTTACACCCTGTTTCACCTCCCAACTCAAAACCCTAGCCATGCCACCAAAGAAATACATGCCTGAGCCTACTGTGAAGAGATAAAACAAGAGATCCGTCGAGTTCAACGTAGACGTGAAGATTGAGAATGAAACCCAGGGAGGACTTACCCTCGATGGTGATAGGAAAAGTTGAAGAGGCAATAGAGATGAGAATTTCAACCCTTTCCATAAAGACGTTTTCAGTGATGATGAAAAAAAGGCCATAATGCTCTAGAATCCAGTGTCAAAGGAGACCAAGAGAGGAGCATGGATACGAAGGACATAGAGACTTCGAAATAAAGGTGGATCTATCAAAATGTGATGGAGATATGAGTCAAGATGATTTTATTGAATGATAAGAATCAGTGAAGAGGATCTTTGAGTACAAAGAGGCCCCAGGAGATAAAAGGTAAAGCTTGCAACTATTGAATTAGAAAAAAATGCCTCCTTATTGCGGATAACTTGCAGAGGCAAAAGAAGAGAGAAGACAATGATAAGATTACCAATTAAGAGAAGATGTGGAATGCGATGAAGAGAAAATATGTACATCCTCACTACCGTCAAGATATGTTTCTGAGACTCCACCACCTATAGCAGAGAAACCTATCAGTGGAGGAGTATACAACGCAGTTTGATTAGTTGCAGATGCAAAGTGATATGGTCAAGTTAGAAGAACACACTAGCTCGTTATCTGGGGAGCCTAAACCCGCTATTACAATTTGTGATTCACCTGCAGCCTTATTGGCACTTAGAGATGTTCAGACATTAGCATTGAAGGTGAAAAGGCAGCAAAAACAGAGCAATAAACCACCACCAGTCAATCAGACACCCACAATAGGAGACAAAAGTAGAAGCACACCTCGAGGAGTTGAGAAAACTGGTATGGATAAGGAAAGAGACACCCAAAGCAAGCAGTCTGAGAAGAGTAACACATCTACTACAATTCTTGGCCGAAACTGCTTTAGATGCTATTCATTTGGGCACATCGCCTCTAGTTGCTCGACGAACCGAGTTGAGTCTTTTACCAAGTAGGGCAACGTGGAGGAGGATAGCGACAAGAAGACATCTAAGAAATAGGGTGAGGTTTAACATCTTTCACCCGATGGAGAAACTCTTGTGGTTCAACGGGTCCTAAAGACCAAGGATATGAGGGTTTCGTGGTGACTCATCAAAATATATTCTACACCAGTTACAGTGTGAACAGAAAAGTGTGCAATCTCATCATTGAGAATGTGGCATCTATATAAATGGTGAAGTTGGGTCTCATGACTCAGAGACACTCCTAATCATATTCTTTAATGTAGTTGAAGGAGAATAGGACCAGCATTGACCGGAGGTATCAAGTAGAGTTTTCGATTGGGAGCTAGCTATAGGATTAAGTGTGGTGTGACGTGTTACCCATGGATGCTTGCAATCTATTGTTGGGGAGATCGTGGCAGTTTGATCATGGAATAACATATAGGACTATTGCTTACTACTGTCTTTTAGTAAATTTATTTGTTATATGTTTACATTTAGAAATTCATTTATATTGAGCATAATTATTACTATCATCCTAGTTTAAATATGCAAATGAAGCCTGCATACTTTCAGTTCATAGTATTTCAGATAAATACAATATTAAGTACAAAATTTTTATTATTACCTGTCATAATCTATTTCTTGAGCATACTAGCAAAGCAAATGTTTTTAGATGCATTCAAGTTAAGCAATAAATGCACATGAAAATGATTATAAAAGGTTAAGATGATCAAAAAAAGTCATGTATACTGATAGGTAAACAATTATGTTGATGACACATAGGAACATACAATAGTATGACGATTGACAAGATGAGCATTGTTAAAAAATAATTGAATCCCTGACTTTAATATTAAGTTTGACACAGACAAATTGGGCATTAAGAGTTCATTGACAAGTGCAGTGTGGAATGACCCATTTTTATCAATGATTATTATGTTTGACGGGCTATGTGATGACCTAATGAAAAGAAATGTGTCGGTCTATGCAAAGATAATAACGACATTTCTGAGCCAGAGAAGATTGAGAATAAGAATGAAAATAAAAGTGAAGCAAATGCACGTATCAGTACCAATTCTATTACTTATGAAAATTCTTGCATCTACTAGTTATAAGTGGATAATCCTTATTATGTGAGTATCAAAGCATGTTTATTTATTACTACTATTATTACTCATGTAATCATCAATCAATATGCACGTAAATTTTTTCTAATACATTTAATTCTTGTTTTGGCAATATATTTCACTAAGTGTGTATCTCACCAGATATTATATTATTGGATTTCAAGGAGGTGGTAAGAAACAGATAAACCATTAGCCAGGTGACTTGTCATTTGGAATAGACTTTGAATGTACAACTTAAAAAGTTGCAAAAGACTCTTAGAGTGCATATGATTTCATATTTAAAGTGTTTTTAAAAGCTCTGTTCTTTCTTTATAGATTGTTTATACACGGTTCATGATTTATATTTGTTAATAGATAATTAATTAAGGAATTGAAATGTAAGAATTTGCTTTGTGACAATTTTGATAAGATTAATTCTATACTCAATCACAACGAGTACAAGTCAAAATGAGTTTCAATGAAAATTGGGTTTGAATAAGCCGTTTTCGGTTATGCCTTTGGTTGACCTGAGGGGTGGGTTGACTCGCTATCACACATCACTAACCACGAGATAGAAGAATAGAAATGACAGTTACAACAAATCTAAATAGAATAGACTACAGAAACCCTGCTGTAATTCTGCTTTGTTGGCAGCTTAAGTCCACTTAACACTCAATGGCAAATCTCTGCCGTTATGCAAGTACATAGAAGCTTAGAACAACATGAGGCATAGAACAACGCTGGTCATGGTACCACCAACTCTCTTGAAGTTTCTAATACATGGCTTGGAGACTATTACTAAAAATGATAGTCCGAGCATGAAGAAACTAGCCATGGAAATTTTGTTCAAGGAATGCCAAAACACAAGGTTAATGAGTAAAGAGCAAACACAAATGAGCATTTCCTACAGGCATCTGCCAAGCTGCGGTACAGAAAAATAAATGGTATGTATTATTCCCATCCATAGCAACAGATATCTATTTAAACAGTGTAACAAATGTGTCTAAAATGCTTCAGTTTAAGTTATGTTGCAAGCCAAATAAAAGTACTAAGAACATTTAAGGATTGACACGTGACATTTGAACTGGAAATATTTCTAATAACATGATCAGTTATAGAATAAAAGTAACCTGAAAAGCAAGCCCAGCAATCTCTTGAGACAAATAGTAACAATCATTATGCACAATTACTGCTTGCTGGCTCACATTATGCAGCTGCTTGACTAACTACATGCATAGAAAACACAGAATATATCAGCTTTCATTGGAAATATATGAAACAAGTAGGCTATAGCGTTTCCATAAAAAACAAGCAAAAAAAAAGTCAAAACCAAAAATCAGAAATATATACGACAAAAGTAACGCATCAAGAAGGACGTTTATATATTTAAAAAATTAATGTCCAGCAAACTTAACTTCACAGACCTCTGCTATAGACTATATAAACTCAGTTCATGTATGATTATTATAAAAAAGCAACCATATCATAACTAAGGTAATCTGAATTATACATGCATCTACATATCACAACTGGCTGCGAAAGGTAATCTGAATTAATACCATCATCCATCCTGATTCTTAAACATATATGAAAAAAATCTAGAGAGGACAACTGCAATCATCAATTGCAATGGTTATTCCTCAGTTTCATAACCAACAAAAATTCACACAAAACATGTTCAGCTTTGCATCTAACAATGTGAGTCCCTTATTGCCCGAGTTTTCTTCTGTTGCTTTTAATTTAGATTTAAATTTTCCTCAGATTCCATTCCCATAAAGTATAAGTCATCAGGCTGCACACATCAAGATATAATTTCCACATCTTCAATAAATGTGTAACTAAGATTCATATGAGTGTTTAAACTCACAGTTTGCTTAAACATAAGAATAAACAATTGTTTTAAACATAGACAGCCTAATTTGTTTACTATATAACTGAAAAATCAATGAAATCATTGCTCTCGAAGAAATAAATTTTAATAAAAAATAGTTTCGGTTCAAAAATTTCATGCCCAACTCCTATAAGAGAGGTCTCGGTACCAAGTCAAATTTTCAGAAGTCAACTTATATTTTGGATATGAATGTATCTAAAGATTCCACCCTCATTTTACAAGGACTTTAAGATCTGATTCTAGGTATCTCATGGGCTAAAGTCCCTGTGGTTAATTATCCTCTTGGATAAGGAAAAATAACTTTCTAGAGATGCTAGTCAATATGTAGTAAGGGTGATTTAGCATGTGGTGGCATAATTTTGAATTTTAGGATAAGAGAAATATACCACCACCAACTTAGTAGATGGTGAAAATGAATGACAATCAAGATTTCAAGTATTCAATATTTTGAGTTGTCATAGGCTCTGTTTTACTTGGTCAACAAAGATAGTTGTTAAACCTGACCTGTGATCCTTGTTCGCAACCATGGATTGAATCGCCTAAGAAGATCTTATGAACATTGGGTGAATTTTTATATAAAATAATAATTGCAAGTAGGACTTAATTAACAAAAGGATAAATGCTCTATCAAACACACTATTAAATTCACCACTCAGAATTTTCGGGTCATTGAGGAACTTACAGACTTCGACAATAACCATAATTTAATGAAGTCGTCTTGCCACAAATCACTCAATCATGAAAATACATTTTCATGTTGTCATATGAAATAAAATCACCTAATCAGCCGACACATTTCACATCCTTACTAACATAAAATCTTTGAGTGACCATAGAGATATGCCCAAGATTCAAAAAGGCAAATTCAAGAACTAAGGTGCTTCATCTTAATGAAGCAAGGCGTAAAGCTCAAGGAGAATAAAAATGAAAATCTTGAAACAGAAATTAAAACTCATAAATTTAAAATAATTCATAAATATGACATGAATTATCAACATATTTTCTTCGTTCATCATTATAATGTCATAAATAACAAATCTCAAACATAAATGTACAATGAAAATATGAAATGTGTTTCAAGGTAAGCATTTGCTCAAATTTAAATGTCATGAAAATCACGATCTATAGCAGCCTAATCATTACTTTCAACAACTTCAGATGAGTTTAAAGATGTAATATTTCTATCATTCCCTAATTCTGTCACATGAACATTTTCTAAACTCTGACAATCACTATATTTTTCTTGTTTCATACTTCAGTTAACTTTGGATTTCATAGAATTTAAAATAAACTAATAAATTAATAACACAACTAGATATTTAATTGTGTGTAACTTACTTGTAAACTCTTTTGAAAGGGTATATTAGATATAAGTATGATATAATATAACATACCTTTTTATATAACTTTGTTGAGGCGCCACCTCAAATAACTTGAGGCATAAGGTCATGAGACATATCTTAGACAAAAAGGGCATAAACCTTACTAACAACATGAGCTCAAGCCTTAAGGCATTTTTTTATTGAGCCTCGGTTCAGGAGTGCTTTGAGGGGTGTGTCTAAAGCGATTTTTTAAACAATGAATATGTTTAATATGGCATTGGCCCTTTGTAAGCATAGATTATTTTAAATTTATCATCCTCATCAAACTAATACTAAGTATAGATGAATGATTGCATTAACTTCAAGAATAAATTCCTCTAGATTTTTTAATTTTATTTATTATTTTTATTTTATTTTTTTTGTATTTTTGTAGGTTCTTTTGAGTTATCATATTCTATTAGAATGCAGGCTCAAAAGAAGTTGCTTTAGGATTAATGATATTTTAAAAATAGGAACCTCAATAGTTGGGATTGGTTTTCAACACAACCATCAACAAAATACTCAATTGAATTTGTTTACATTAATTTTTTTCAATTGTGCCAACTTGCTCGAAAAAGATATGATTTGTAATTTACACATTGTTTGAATTCAATTTGAAAATTCATTGCGCAATAGACTGTGCTAACATTACATTGAGCGTGTAGGCAAGAAATTGAGAGTTTACATTTTGGTGCACACTGCATTTTTACTTTTGAATTTAGATATCGGTAATCCTATTAAAGCCCATATGCAATAACTTGCTTTTAATGATTTGATATCTCTTAAAAGATGCAAGTGTCTTTTGGTGTGCTTACATGACTTAAAATGCCGAAATATTGTTTGTGCCAATGCATCATCATAGAAAAGTGAGCATAGCATTTCCTTTAAAACTCAATGCTTAACTTCATTTGCTTGCAAATACCTAATATAGACTTGGTGGCAATTTTAGGGAGTTATAACTTTATTTTGGTTCAAAGCAATGTTGGCATGCTAGCATTTGGTTCATATGAATGATTAGATGGACCCTACAAGGGTACTCCTTAGAACCTCTAGTCATGTGCAAGCAATTCATGGTTCTAATAGTTTTTAGTAGTCAACAAGGGGTCCTATTTATGCTCGCAGGAGAGCTATCAAGTTTAATTCTTGCTCATAGATGAGCTATCAAGTCCCTTGTAAAACCAACCTCAAGTTCATTTCTCTTTAAATTTGACAACACACCTCAATTTGAATTGTATTTCATTTTTATTTTAAATTTTTACGTTCTTTATTTTTCATTTTAGTTAACTTTATATCCATAAAGATCCTTTCAATTGGTTTTTTTCTCTTTATTCAATGAAATTTTATTTTATACTTTTAGGTTGTTTTAATTTCATTTTAGTTGCCTTTATATCCATAAAGTTCCTTTCAATTGGTTTTTTTGTCTTTATTCACTGAAATTTTATTTTATACTTCTATTGATTTTTTTTTCTTTAGTCACTGAAATTTTGACAACCTCCCTATGTATCTAGAGGGATTCCTTCCAGAACATGAGTACCAATGTTTGAATTTTTCCACTGCATAGAAATAATGTACACGGGTATCTATGCCTAGTGCAATGGTTACCTTTGCCAAGTTACCATTTTACATTTACGATCATTGAGGTGGTTATTATAGGACCGTTAAATCAAATACACAACTTTTTTTCAATTTATTTAATTTTGAATTTCCCCTTCTTTCTTGGTTTTATTCTTTTTTTTCTGTTTTTTTCTTTTTTCACCTTTTCTTTTTTTTTTAGAAATAACTTTCTTTTTCTCTAATTTAAGAAAGAGAAAGAAAAAATGAATTAGAAGGAAAGAGAAAGAAAGTTAGAGAGAAATGGCAAAGAATGAGTGGGGAGAATTTTGGATGGAGGTCTTAAGGGTTAAGTCACCAGAGATTGGAGGAAAAGTTTGGCTAACTTTAGAAGTGGAGTGATTTTGTGGTGATGAATTGCAGTTATGGATGGTTTAGAGTGGTTAGTTGATGTCATTTAAAAGTTTTTCAATATTTTAGTGTAGGAGGCTACTAGTTCGGAGATTAAAGACTCATCAATGATTTCACAAGTGATGAGCTTGCACAAAAAGGAAGCTAGCCAATGTGTGAATTGTTGCTCGAATTAATGTAAGGAAGAAGGATTCGAAGTTTTAGCGGTGTTAGGGATAACCTGTGTGAAAATATTAGTGGCTGTTGGCAATGAATTGTAGTTTAATATGTCAGAGAGGGAGTCTGGGATTTGGTAGTCATAAAGGATAGAAAAAAATTAGCGAAAAAGGGATTTGTCGATGGTGACTGGCTTGATATCGGTTGAGTCACAAGAGATTGCTTGCAATTGAAGGGCCAATGATGGGAAAAGATGGGAGCGAGTTTGTTGATGCATTGCCAACAAGTTCCCATCACAAGCTCCTCTCCTTTCTATCATGGAAAGTTTCGAGAATTCGGGTAAAAGTAGAAATGGGTTGGTCAATGCTTGAGTATTTGATCAATGGAGGTCATGAACTCTCATTCTTCGCATGCAATCGGCCATGTCAAAGCCTTGGCCAAAAAACTCTCATCTTAGCTTCTTGGCTTCTTTGTGTTGCTGAAGGTTTTGGATAAGAATGTGAGGAGATGCAAGTTCATAGCTTGCAAATAAAGGAGCTCAAACACGTGCTAGAGCGAGACAGTTGAAGAGAATAGGCACTATGGTTGGTGAGATGGATGTGGCTAGGCAAAGAAGATAGTAAATAGAGAAAGCAGCGAGGTTTTAGGATTTTAGAGAAAAATATCTAAGTAGATGAGCATAGAGTTTCATTTTGGCTTTTTATTTTAGTCTTTTTTTTTTTTTGTAAATTGTAAATTAAAATTGGACAACTCTGGACAACTCATATGTAGGAAACAGAAGAGAAAACTATGGTGCTGAATTTGATAGGGATTGGATAACGATATTGGTGATTGATCATATTTATGGGATAGAATCACTTGGGATGGACATTTTTATTAAGTTTTAAGAAAAAAATTCAAATTTAATTGAGTAAAAAAATTAGGTTTGTGAAGTTCTATTTTCTTGTCATTATCTCACCGAGGTTGATTTTTGAATCTTTCTATAAATGTCTTTTTTTGGAGTAATTTTGATGTTTTAGATGTATCAACAAAATCCGTCTTGCAAAATGGACAATAGTTGATTTACTTTGATGAGTGATATGTTTCTAGCTAAACTTACATGATATTGTTTAAGTTGTTTGTCATTACTATCGTTTCATTAAATGAAGTCGCAGCATGATTATTGATGAGTGTTAGAAAATTCGCAGATATAAAGTAATAAATTTTTGTCTTAAAGTTCTACAAAAATCCAGCACACACTCAGATGAAAGAAGACAACCAATAGGGTCATAAAATGTTTTAATTGAAAAAAATGTAAAGGGAAAAAAATCAAGGCATCTTGCCCAGTTGACATGTTTCACTATGAGTTGGTAATTACAGGTACAACACCTTATACCATATGCGGGGAAGTGTTACACATCTTCTCGAGTTACAACATCGGTACGTAGAAGAGATCGTTGCCCTATGGTAGGGAGAAATCAACAAAGAGTCACTGTTGGAGCTTTAGTCCACCGTCTTCATGGTCGATGCGACGTTCGGTATGATGTGTTACTTCGTAGGTTTCTCCATGACTCAGCTTCGTAGGTTGCTTCTTCATAAGCAGCGGACAGCAATGGCCGGCCAACAATGATTGGCAACTTCAGAAGTAGGAGTTCACCGGATCGTCAGTGCCATGTCTTGGAATTCAATTCCCATTTCTCCATGCTCTAGCCTTCCACTTAATCAAGATCTAATTCCCCTCTAAAAATGGGAGTAAGGCTTTATTTATATAATTCAGGATGTCAAAAAGAAAAGAATCCAGACCACTCTGATCGAAGTGTTCGGAGATATGCCCTTGATTGGATGGCTCTCGATAGAGATTTGAGTGCCTTAATGATATAAAATTTGAGCGGCCTTAGGCTCAATTGATTCATCTTGTCAAGATGCTCGAAGTAACTATAAGCTTGTCAGATTCAAGATATGTTGGACCTTCTAATTAAGTTGGGAAAGCTTCTAAAAGTGATTTAATGACTTCATTTAGGCTTGGTTCGACTGAGATCAGGCCAATTTTATAATCGTTGGGTCCGTTTCGTCGAGTCAGTCAGTTTGACTATAAGTTTGCTCAAATTGAGCTTTAGATGATGCTACCATTTACTGCTCAAAAAATTACCAAGAGATTCATGTCATGCCACGAGATCATGTCGAATGATGAAAATTTGTTGATGTATCAGTTATGAAGGCTCGTCTTGGGTACTTCTAACATTCATTTTTCTCTATTTCTTAGGTAGATTTTTTTATTTATTTTTTAAACCTTAAATCTAATTAACATGAGCTAAGAAGAATTGTACATTTAACATTCTAATTGCATTGTTGTGCTCTGCTTCACGAGCCAGGCGACGATTGATAACTTTCAATATTTCAAAGCATTTTGAGCCGTACTTATGTCATATCATCCATCGCTGTCATTTTTGTACAACAACAAGCCTTTATCCCACTAGGTGGGTTCCAATAAATAAATCTTTTTTCTCCATTGCATCCTATTGAGTGTCCTATTTTCGATTGATTCTAATAAATTATGATCATTTTATAAAACATGCCCAAGACTTTTTAGGTCTAATTCTGCTGTAGTTAACGGTTCTTTCGTTGTACATCTTTCTGAGTAGGCTTGGGCATGTATCACTGTGCTGGTATGGTTACGATTTAGATTTGTGAAATTAGAAAGGATATTTGAGGATAGGAAAGAAAATTTTTGAGGTGGAGATATGTTGGTAGGCTAGAAAAACTAGGATATAACTAGTGTTATGCTAGCTCTGATACCAAATGATACCAGAGTTAACCCAAATTGCAAAAGAATGAAAATATTTCAAAAGGGGTAGAAAAAAAATCTTGAAAATAAGAAAATTAACAACAGAAACAATAGAGACACCTATGGTGAGGACGAAAGTAATTGGCTGCTGCTGAATTAGTAGAAATAGGGAATTGGAGGTGGTAGGAGTGCGGCTGCACAACTAATGGGTTGCTGGAGGCTGTTGTGGTCCTGGGACGGGTGACTGGAAAGCAACCAGCAGCAATAATGAATAGAGATGCGGCTAGACAGCAAAAAGTAGCAGGTGGCTGGAGCAAGGGAGGGTACAAGGATGGTGGCAGCAATCAGGAGGGGCGCAGGAAGAATGGTGGCGAGCAGGTGAAGAGAAAAAACAGGAAATAAGTGGAGGTAATCACAAACTTAAAGCAGGATACAGTTGGAGCACCACCTATCCTCAGATACAACCATAGTAAGGGTAAAGACGCCGACGATAAAAACGTCTGAAAACCAAAACTGAACCCTAAACAGAGAAAATACATATATATAGCAATAGATAACTAGGAGAGGGAGACCCCTCCCCTTGGGCGGCTGTCCTAACCTAACCAATTTGGCTGGCCGAAACCCCTGCATCCCTAGTTGAACCTATCCAAGGTTCAGCCCAGGATAGTTGTCGCGTCAGTTGAGTTTACCAATGGTTTCTTATCTTCTATATTTGTTTTATGCAAATTAAGAAAAAAAAAGAAACTGTAAGGTAAAACTGCCACCATGATAAATATTTGATTTAGCCTTACTCCAGCATAGCTTTGTTGAATGTAACTTAAATATTTATTCAGTTGGTAGCAATTCTAGGCAGTAAAGTATAGCTTCCTAGCACAAAACATCATTAAATCACCTGTACCTTATGCTTCATAACCTATAAAAAAAAATAATAATAAAATAATAAAAAAAAGAAAAATATAAAAATAAATAAATAAATTATATAACAAAGATAATTCAAAGAACACACATTGAAATGGAAGAAAGGCAACAAAAAATAGGGATGTAATTTGGTCATGAGAACAAAGAGCAAAACATATACCATAGAGGAAATTTGATCGAACTAATAGAAAAGGCAAAGAAGGAAAAGTGGTAAATCACATGAAATAATTTTAAGCTATTCATAAAAATTTGTGCAAAATAGAGTTAACACCAGTGCAGGATTTTAACAGGCATCAATAGAGGATGATAGAAAAGGGGGGTCAAAATAATTAGGATAAGGATAATAATGATTATAATGAAGAACCTCATCAACTGAGTTGTGATAAAAGAAATAATAATTTTATTTATAATCTTTTGAAATGAAAGAATGGATGACTTAAATACAAAGAATGGGGTGGACTCAAAACATAGTCTGTTCTTTTAAAGATATAATCACAAAGTTGGATATTATGCATCAGCTAAGTATGATGGTAAAGCTAACACTTCAAGGAAAAAAAAGCTACAACTCGCATTGTTTATCTGAAGACCTTCACTGGTATGACAGCTTTGTACAGTAGTAGAGCATCTCGAGAGGCATGGTATAACTCTTTAGCCACTCTTGAAGATGACGAACAAGCATCCTGCAATCATCGTTAAAAATCAGAATGATGCCAATCAAAGCAATGCCTAATCAACAAAAAAGCTAAGAAAATCCAAGTACATAGAACTCAATTACACTAGATGATTTTTAGAACTGAATATGCAGATCAAAAAGTGAAATAGATGAGTAAAAAAAGCTCTTAATAAAACAAATGAGTATTAGGTAAAGCAAATAAGACAACAGTTGAGTATTATGAAAATGCGAAGGGATCGTATTATCTAATGTTGCAGGAGGTTGACATCGACTGTGCACACACATAAGCCACGTTAAAGCAAAAAATCATAAATGCAATCTCATGTCTTCCATGCATCACACCTAGTTCCAAAACGAACATAAATAAACCAAGAACAGAGAGCATGGCCAGCCCTTCTCCAATCTGATTCAGTTTACTTTATATTTTCTTTGCAATGTTTCATTTCATGTCACGGATCATAGCATTTATTTTGTCTCCTATAAATTTATTAGCCATTAGGTAATGAGCCTTCCACTATATAAAGGGGCACAAAACATGTACGAACTAATATGAACTGATATGATGATTACTTGCTAAATGAACTAATATGATGGTCGCTTGCTAAATGAAATCAAGAAGATGGTTACTCCCTAACTACCTCTTCTCTTCCCTTACCACTTTGGCAGACACTCGTTAAGAACTTACCATCTTCTCATCACACAAAAAAGGCTCCCTGCCTTCTTCAATGAATGCAATCTCAGCAGAGACTCCACAATTTTTCTGTATCAAAGAAAACAACTAATAAATGGAGAGATCAGTTGTCTTCTTCTTCTTCTTCTCCCAAACTGATGCAATATTTCTTCAACTTCTTCAAAAAGATCCTGATCAACTCAAAATAATTTTGTCACAAACATGACTTGAGGATTTACCTACTTAGTCATTTAAGTATCTCACTATGAGCTCAATAAATTTATCATTTAGTGATGATTTATTATAAGTTAATGATATTCATTTTCTTACGCTCCGTGCACTTTAAAAAATAGTTATATTATTAGAGGCATAAGTATAGTGAAAATATTGAGCAAACAATCTTATACAAATGTTAGAATCATATATTACAATATAAATTTAGTTTTAATAAGAATTTGATAATATAAATATTGAAGAAATAACATTTGAATCTATATCTATATCTATAACAATAAGTGGATTGCACACACTTATTTGCTAGAAGACTAGTTTGGGTAAATAACAGAGCGATGCGAACTTTGAAATGGACTGTAGATTTTGACCTACAGACGAAACCACCAATCATTCCGGTCTGGATTTGACTATCTGGTCCGAAATTCTATCATTTTAACCAAGAAACGTTGTACTCTATTGCCACAATCTATGATAAGCCACTCAAAACGGACATTTTGCTTTTAATATTTCCCGTCCTTTAGAAGCCAGTGTACTTGTTAAAAGGGACATCACTTTAAACGCTCCTAAGGAAATTTGGCTAGGCTCACAACATCAAGGATCTTGACAAAGGGTTGTTATTGAGCCTCTTCCTATGTATTGCTCTAGTTGTCGTATGTTCGGCTATTCCAATTCTCACTGTTACCACTTACACCCCCATCTAAAACCACAAAAGCACAGTGCTCCTCCAGAGATCCCTCCAAACTTGGCCTCAAGTGTTCTTGAGAACCCTTCCGTTCTCAAAGTTAGTGGCACTCTTGATCATCGCAAGGATATCTCTGACCCCAATAACATTGTGGTATCCGTACAATCTAGTCCACCGGCTAAAGTTGTTGTAGGTTCACTTGCCCCCGCGAGAAATCATTCATCTCTTCAGCCTCCACATACTGTTGCTGAAGTAGTAGGTTCTCTAATTATGCAGGGAAATGATACTTATATTACTCCGGAATTTCTAAACACTCATGTTGCGGTCACTCCAATCTTGGAGTGTCAAGCTCAAAAAGAGCAACAAACTGCAAACTATCAACAATCTATGGATCAACACATTGTAGCTGATCAGAAGGGTACCCTATTCTTGGGAGAGTGTCAAGCCAATGATGGGCAACAGTTTGCACCTATTCAACAATCATTGGACATTGGATCAACAATCATTGGATCAACAGATTTCCTTTGACTAGATGAGAAGTTCAACAGCTGAGGATTGGCAGGTTCAAACATATAAGAAGAGATACAAAGGAAAACGTGAACTCAGACTTATACAGAATGACACATTGACTGTCTCAGACGACAACCCATATACAAGATGTCTGTTGGACTTCGCCCCTAGAACCAGGAAAAGGGGGAGAGGTCTAATCCTTAAGGAATGGGATTAACAACCCCCCCCCCCCCCCTTTTTCAACAACAAAAACAAATTAACATATTTAATCTTCAGCAAAGTTATTTGACGTTGCAATTAAGGGTTATTTGGGTATTGACTAGTAGTATTGCGGCGACAAGTTGCAAAATCTTCGCTCCATTCAAAATCCTTTCCACACATACGTCCTCATGTGCCATCTTATCACTTCAATAGTTGTTTTGGAGCCTTCTTTCGATGTTATTTTTTTCTTTTTTTGGGTTTTACTTCTTACTTTTTGGCCTTTTTTGTGCGTTGTATATATTGTGAGTGGGTTTTGCGCCCACTCACTAAATTTTTTCAATGAGTTTGCCATATATATATATAT